ATTGGGATCCTTCATTAATTTTTTGCAAAAAGAAATAACGAGATTAAATGATCCAATATATTCCGAGATTTGTTTCGTCAATATTTTTGTTATGATTTGTCTACAAAAAAAAAAAAAACAACATTAAATATTAAATAATAACTGAATATTTAGCATCAATATATTTATTTTCAATATAAATCAAAATATTTTTAAATTTGAAGAATGCCATTGATATTTTTAAATTTGAAGAAGGAAAATTAATAAACCGAAACGGGTAATTGTGTATATTTAATTCGAAATTGCATATATGTAAACTAAATTATTTTCGTAAGATATTATTAGATATTTTCAAAAATGGTAATCTAATCTAATAGCAAATTATCATTTCGTTTAGATTTTTAAAAATTTCCTTAACAATACTATGCTAATTAATTCTGATTGGTACACATGGAAAAAATATTTTTCAATTTTGATTTTCCAAATATGAAAAAACATTTATTATATTTTTCGTATATAATCTAAACGAAATACTTCCATCCTTTAAAATACAACTTATTCAAAAACTAATTTTTTGGACTCTAAATTTGTAAATATCTTGAAAATATTTCCAAGATAGATTAAAATATTTAACATTTAATTAGAGTTTGAATGATATAAAATTTTATAATATATTTTTTTTTAAATGGGTAATTTTCATTATTTTAAATATATATATAACTAAGCTAAATTTTTAATATATTTTTAAAACATAAATAATAGTTACTATATCTCCAAATAAATTATTCAATTTCAAATCAAAGAAATTATTTTAATTTGTATCAAATTGTTACAAGATTTTGGAATACACATTCTTCTAGAATTGATTATTTTCTTTTTCAAATAACATTAAAATAAATTTAAATACAAATGTTTTAATTTTAAATGCAAATATTTCAAAATGAGAAATATTAAATTTAAGGAACTATTGAATTCAAATCAAGATGACTAATTTAACTAATTACAAGCTACTTTTTAATTTACACAGTTTTTTACAGTTAATTCAAAATGATTCTCTAAATTTATTCATGTTAAGATTTGTTTTCATGTTTTAATTTACGGTATGTTTATAAATTTTAACAGAAACATATGTTAATCCCCAAAACTTACAACAGTATATTGTATGGTGTTTAAAGAAAAGCAAAAATGAACTCGGAAAACGATATTTAATTTAATATAACGAGAATAGGAAATACGAAACATGAATGACATGGAAGGAGACAGGACGGGGTAAAAACATAGATTTTAGATCAGAACAAGTTACAATTCAAACAAATTAACGTTTGCAATCAAATATGTAACATGTGTTTTCAATTTATATAGCATAAAAATGTTCAAAATAATAAATGTTATTATAGTATGTTCTATAATAGTTAAAATTTAAAAAACAAACAAATGTAATTTAATATTTATGAACAAAATATAAAACAATAAGAATAAAAAAGTCAATTAATTTTGTAATATTTTTATTATATCATCATATAAAAATATACTATGAATTATATTTGTGTTTGTCCCAAACAAGATATCGAGAATTTTTGTTTCTGTCACGTCCTGTTTCTAATCGGGAATACAAAATTTGTCTTATATTAGAAATGCATTCTCTTATGAGATATAAATTGAAGAACGGGTAAGATATAATGGAACATGATAAAATTGAATGGGAGTTACGCTTATCTCTAAATATTTCTATTTCTCGCAAACGTATTTAATCATTTTAACGGTTTTATCTACGGTTTGATAGTTTACAAGTTTAATATTCACAAGTTTAATAAAAATCTATCTGACCATTAACTCGATTCATTTTGATCTCGGTCCGACAGTTTGATTGTTAAGAATTTTAAAATACTACTAAAATCATTTTTATTTCAAATATTTCAACCAATTAATATGCGTTTTGGTTATAGATACTATAACTATATAAATAATTTTGTTTTACATCAATCTAACTTTTTATTATATCATATCATATAAAAATATACTATGAATTATATTTGTGTTTGTCCCAAACAGGATATCGAGAATTTTTGTTTCCGTCACGTCCTGTTTCTAATCGGGAATACAAAATTTGTCTTATATTAGAAATGCGTTCTCTTATGAGACATAAATTGGAGAACGGATAAGATATAATGGAACATGATAAAATTGAATGGGAATTACGCCTATCTCTAAATATTTCTATTTCTTGCAAACGTATTTAATCATTTTAACGGTTTTATATACGGTTTGATAGTTTACAAGTTTAATGTTCACAAGTTTAATAAAAATCTACCTGACCATTAATTCGATTCAGTTTGATCTTGGTCCGACCGTTTGATTGTTACGAATTTTAAAATACTATTAAAATCATTATTATTTCAAATATTTCAACCAACTGATATGAGTAACTATATAATATTTTTTTTACATCAATCTAACTTATATTATATTTCAATCTAAGATTTTTTTCTAATCTACTCTTTAGTTTCAAACTCCAAAAAATGACTTATGGTTGCTATTGTGTCATAAGCAAACATAAATAACATTTTATACTTTTCTGTGTACATTATAATTTATTCAATACAATATATATCTCTAAAACAACAAAATAATCATATATTTAATAAAAATTTATTACAACACATTTCTTAAAATATGAAATCCCGCACGTATGTGCGGGTCAGGATCTAGTAGAGTATTAATTTGTAGAGGTTTTACTGTACATATAATCAGTCAACCATTTGATTTCACATTGTTTTAATTTATATTATCTTAACTAGGTTTAAATCGTTACACTAGATATCAATATTTTAGTAGGTTTAAATCACTAAAACTACATGCATGACGAATCAAAATAGTATCCGTAAAATGTAAGATTTCTATTTTTTAACCTAATTAATACTCCTTAATGACTAAATGTAAAATTTCCAGTTTTTCCTAGTTTTTTTTTTTTTTTTTTTGTCAACCTTCCTAGTTAACAAAATGTAAACATTACAAATTCCATCGATTAATTTACAAAAATGTAAACTTTTGTGTTGACAGTCCATGCAGTATATATATAAGTATAATATGCGTACACAAAGAAAAACATTATATATGAACCCCATCATCATGTTAGTAGCTGTATGTGTTAGATTCTGCAAATGCCCAACACAAACAAAGAGTGAACCCATTTCTAGTGTTTAATTATTTATATTATGATGTATTGCTTATTCTTTGTTTGATTTTTTTCGTTTATGAATTATTTAATTAATGGTGAAGTTTTTAGATAAATAAATGTGAATTTTAAATTTGAATTATGTTTATTTAGCTATATATAATAAATGTGAATTTATTGTATAAAATTTATTTAGGAATAGCTCTTTCAACCAAATGTAGTACACACTAATTCTGTAATTGAACCATGTATGATACGATTTTGAGTAGTGATGGAAAAAATGACAAGGTTGATAAGTGAGTTTAGAAATTTACATCGATTTAAGCTAGCCAACTACTATAGCAAAATTGGTCTATAATCCAGTTTCTTGACAGTTTGTAATGGAGAGAATATTAGTGGGACTCGTCCCGTGGATATGTCCTTATGATTTTTTTGGTCCCTAAGGCATATTAATGAAATAGAACATCACAAAGAGCTCAAGTTCATGTTCTTAAATCTTAACTCTAACTCCAACATCCCCATTTGACCAGTCGAACTAAACCCTTAGACAAACTTCTCAGGAAAAGAGGTTAAAACATATGTTTTCCAATTAGTGTAGTTTTGTGGTGTTTTTTTTTATATATGATGAAAATTCATAAAAATATTTTTTTGTATTGTAATGTAAATTTAAGTTTCTTTAACTTAAAAATTCTTTTTGGATTTGTAAATATATTTTTCATTTTCCTTTTGGGCTTTTTGAATTATTATTATTACTACTATAAATTGATTGATTTGCGATTAATTATAATTAGACATGTGCTACCTTTTAAAGTTAAAACATATCCTGTTTTCTAATAAGATATGTTTTGTATATTTTTTGGTTAATATAATATTTTCCTTACTATAATGACTTTACAAAAATGGAAGAGTACAGTAAAACCTCTATAAATTAATACTCTATAAATTAATAACCTCTCTAAATTAATAAATTCTTCCGGTCCCGAGTTGGGACCAGTGTAAAATATGATATAAATCGATAAATTAATAAGATAATAATTTTTTTGAAAATCTCATGTAAACATATAGTCCCATCTATATCATAAATTAATAATTGTATAAACTCATCAATATATATATGTATGTATATTTAACTTAATATATATATATATATATGCATATTTAACTTAATATATATATGATATAAATTTATATATGTAATATATGAATTACTATGATATATATTTAAAATATTATATGTAAAATATTTAACGAAATATGACTCTATTATTCGAAAAAAATTTGTGTTGTTTTTTAAACTTAATAATTGTTTCTCTACTTGTAATTGGTTTTAAAAAGATATTGCTTATAAAGAAAAAAATTTATTTTTAGATATAAATTTTTGAAGAAATTACCAAATTAGTAAAATCTCTCTATAAATTAATAATTATTAATTTATCGATAAATTAATACCTCTCTAAATTAATAAAATTTCATGGTCCCAACATTATTAATTTATAGAGGTTTTACTGTATCTCACTTTTTTATCAACATTTATAAATTCCATTAAAAAAGTTTGTTAATATAGAAAAAAAGTTAGAACGGCACATTAATTTCCAATAACATAGAATGACAAAGAGTCGCAGCACAAAAATTCTTGTCCGCTCTAAAACTAATTAATAAAGCTATTTTTTAATTTCTATGGTAATTTATGGATTTTACTTGTCAAAATCTGACTACGTGTCGGAATATTATTGGTCGGCTGACTTGTTTCCTTTTATTCAACTGTCGGGAAAAAATATCTTAGCATAAAACACAGTCCTAGGTTACTCTCACAGATCAACCAAAACTTTTTGTAACGGAACCCTTCAAGTTTCAATTTCTTCTTAACGAAGGAAACCAAAAAAAAAAAAAATCATGGCCGATCCTACCGAATCCTGCGTCATGACGATGACGGTGACCACCACGCCGGCGTCAGATTTAGCTTTCACAAATCTCGCATATTGTTCTCCGTCTGATCTCCGTTGCTTCGCTGTTCCCGGAACGCCCGATCTCTTCCTAGCTAACGTCGGAGAAGTCTTTGTATTATCAATCTCATATCCTTTAGATCTTTTTGACAATTTTTTTTTAATACTGATTACCTTATAATTCGATTCTTCACATTATTGTGTTAAACACATGGAATCTTAGTTTTTATTTATATGTAAATCTTAACTGGTATATACTGGACATGAGAGTATTTCTGATGGAAGTATTGCTCTGAATTCGATTCAACGACGACATGCTAGAGTTTCTGCTGGTGACATTGTTTCTGTAACAAGGTAAAATGCCACAAATGTGTTGAACTATAATCAAATCCTCATCAGTTCGTATAAACTAAAGTCATATTTGTATAAGTTAGTTATTTATGTAAGAGTCACGTTTGTACGGTTGTGTCTATTCGATTAATACATGTACAATCACGTCGGTTCGTGTTGTATAAGTAGAGATCGAGTCTCTGTTTCATTCATTGTATTGTATTGAATCGTGTGTGTAACACATTGTTTCTCTTATCAATAAAAGATCAAGTTTCCTTACATACTCTGTTTTTTCATTCTGTTCTTCATACTTTACTAGAACAGAGTTCGTTTTGTTCTTCAAAACACCAACAAAATGCTTGTTTGTTAATTACCTCGTGTTTTTTATGTTTCTTTGCTCGGTCTGAAGACTGATTTCTTCTTGCAGATTTATTCCTCCTGAAAGCTTTGACTTGACTGTTCTGACAGTTGACTTAGAATTTGTCAAAAAAGGGACTAAAAATGAACAGATTGATGCTACTCTCCTCTCAACTCAACTGAAGAAGAAATTCACTAACCAGGTAGATTCTTGGATTATTAGTGTGATAGTTGTGGATCATAGTTGAAGATTCTTGTCTTTGCCATCATGCACTGATTGGTTCTCAATGAGTTGTATTTGATGAATGTTTTGCAACTTATTATTTTGTGTGCTTTATTATTTCTAGACCATGCGATGACACAATTTATGCGTATATATCTATGCAGGTCTTGACAGTAGGTCAAAGAGTTACATTTGAGTATCATGGAACTAACTACATTTTTACGGTCAATCGAGCGGTTATAGTGGCTGATGATGAGAACCAAACTAATTGTATCGAAAGAGGGATGATTTGTAAGGATACATATTTTGTGTTTGAAGCATCAAATGCAAGTGGCATAAAGGTTTGGTTTTGATTAATTATCTTATAGTATTCTGTGTTATTTAGTTTGTTAGTTATGTTAATACCAATCAACTGACAATCTGATAGCATATACAAAATAAAAAATGTATGTTCTGATGTTACTTGCTAATTCCGATTTCATTGTTTTAAAGTTGAGTTTTGTAACTTTGTATATACAGATTATCAACCAACGAGAATCTGTTACAAGCAAGATATTTAAAGAAAAGGAGTTTAACCTTCAATCCCTAGGTATAGGTGGTTTAGGTGCAGAGTTTGTTGCTATATTTCGAAGAGCTTTTACTTCTCGTATACTTCCTCGCGATGTCGTGAACAGGTTCTGGTTCAGACCTCAACTGTTTCAAAATGCCATTTCTTGCTTTTCTATGTATTCTTTATTTCCTTGTAAGTTTATTCTTTTGATCTTGCAGAATTGGGGCAAAGCACGTTAAAGGGATGCTTCTGTTTGGACCTCCCGGTACTGGCAAGACCTTGATGGCACGCCAAATTGGCAAAATGCTTAATGGAAAGGAGCCAAAGGTTTAGTTAATAACGCCTCTATACCCCCTAATTAATTTCATTCTGTCTTCTAATTAGTTGGTCATCTAAGATGTCACTCATTTTTTCCTTAAATGTATGAAATCTATGGATTGTGTTAATATGTAATGCCTTTAGTTTTTCTTCTCTTGACATAATAGATCGTTAATGGTCCTGAAGTGCTAAGCAAGTTCGTCGGCGAGACAGAAAAGAATGTAAGAGATCTGTTTGCTGATGCTGAAAATGACCAGAAAACACTTGGTGCGGAATGATAAAATCTTTTTACCCTGATTTGTGCTTTATTTTATGTTGTCCTGATTTCGTATACGTTTCGCAAAATAAGCCGAAACGATGCAAGGCTCTTCACATCAAGTGATCCCTATATTCGATGGGGAGAAGTACGACTTCTGGAGCATTAAGATGACAACCATTCTCAAGACCAGAAAACTATGGTCTGTGGTTGAAGAAGGAGTGCCAGCCGAACCAGCACAAGGAGAAGAAACTCCTGAGACATCGGCGGCAAAAGCAAAAAGAGAAGAGGCAGTGGTCAATGATACGATGGCGTTGCAGATCTTGCAAACCGCCGTAACTGATCAAATCTTCTCACGAATTGCAGCAGCAGGAACTTCTAAAGAGGCATGGGAGGCATTGAAAACTGAATATGAAGGATCCTCGCAAGTACGGTTGATCAAACTTCAAGCGTTGCGTAGAGAGTACGAGAATCTGAAGATGTATGATGGAGAAAACATCAAATCATTCACCGATAAGTTAATTGTCTTGGAAAATCAATTAACTTATCATGGAGAAAAGAAAACAAATTCTCAAGTTGTTCAGAAGATACTCATTTCTCTCCCAGCCAAGTTCGATAGCATTGTCAGCGTTTTGGAACAAACTCGCGACTTGGATTCATTAACAATGACAGAGCTAATCGGTATTTTGAAAGCACATGAAGCAAGGCTATCTGCAAGAGATGAAAGCACAAATGAGGGAGCATTCAATGCTCACACAAAAGCAAGAGAAACCGGTTCCAAACAAGACAACACTAGAAGCCGTGAGAATCAAGGCAAGAGGTGGTGTGAGTTTTGCAAAAGAAGCAGCCACACCAACGAAGAGTGTTGGAGGAAACCGAAGGAGAACGATCAAGGCAAAAATAAGAAGAGTAACATTAAGTGTTACAATTGTGGTAGGATCGGCCACTACTCAAACAAGTGTCGCTCAAAGAAGAAAGAGAGGGCACATGTGAGTCTCGAAGAAGAAGACTCAAGTGATGAAGATCACATGTTGTTTAGTGCAAGTGAAGTCAAAGAAGCAACAACAAAAGAAGATGTTTGGCTAGTAGACAGTGGATGCACTAACCATATGACTAAGGAGGAGGGATACTTCTCTAAAATTGACAAGAATGTCAAAGTTCCGATCAAAGTCGGTAATGGAGAAATAGTCATGACTGCCGGTAAAGGAGATATTACCATCATGACAAACAATGGCAAGAAGGTCATTCGAAACGTGTTCTTGGTGCCCGGCTTGGAGAAAAATCTGTTGAGTGTTCCTCAAATCATTTCAAGCGGTTATCGAGTGAGTTTTGAAAACAAGAGATGCATCATACTTGATGCAAAAGGCAAGAGGATAATGGAGATCCCAATGACTCACAAAAGTTTCAGAATCAAGATGAAAACGGTTCAAGAAGAAGCTATGAATGCAAGTGAGCAAGAGAAAGTGGAAACATGGCACAAAAGGCTTGGTCATGTAGGCAACAAACGTTTGCAGCAAATGCAAGACAAAGACTTGGTAAAGGGGTTACCAAAGTTTAAAGTCAACAAAGAAGTATGTGAGGCGTGTAATCTTGGAAAGCAATCAAGAAAAAGCTTTCCAAAAGAATCTCAAACAAAAACAGAAGAGAAGCTTGAGATTGTGCATACGGATGTATGTGGACCTATGCAACACCAATCACTTGATGGAAGCCGTTACTTTCTGTTGTTTTTGGATGATTATACTCACATGTGTTGGGTATACTTCCTAAAACAAAAATCAGAAACATTCTTAACGTTCAAGAAGTTCAAGGCCATGATAGAAAAGCAATCCGGTTGCGTTATCAAGACGTTAAGATCAGACGGTGGTGGTGAATTCACTTCACAAGAATTCAACAAGTTTTGTGAAGAAGAAGGGATCAATAGGCAAGTTACTTTGCCTTACTCACCACAACAAAATGGTGTAGCAGAAAGGAAGAATAGATCCTTGATGGAGATGGCAAGATCAATGATTGTTGAACAAGGTTTACCGTTTAAGTTATGGGCAGAAGCGGTGTATACCTCGGCTTACATTCAAAACCGCCTTCCATCAAAGGCTATTGAAGATGATATGACGCCTATAGAGAAGTGGTGTGGACACAAACCAAATGTGTCACACTTGAGGATATTTGGGAGCATATGCTATGTGCATATAGCGGATCAAAAGAGAAGAAAGCTAGAAGCTAAGGCAAAGCGTGGAATCCTCATTGGCTATAGCAATCAGTCAAAAGGCTATAGAGTGTTTATCTTGGAGAATGAGAAGGTTGAAGTATCAAGAGATGTTGAGTTTGATGAAAACAAGAAGTGGGATTGGAACAAGCAAGAGGAAGTAAAGAAGATCTTTGTTCTTCCCATCAATGATCCACAAACCTCACAAAATCAAGACGGAAACACCACTAGTTCCGTTTTGGTCCAAGAAGATCATCATTATGAGGATATAAGTGATGAAAGGGAGACATCCGAAGAAGATATGGAGATGTTAACGGCCAAATTTGGATCTATACATGTTAGTACACAAGGAGAGAGATCCGAAGCTCCAAGGAAACTCAAATCCATGCAAGAGATCATGAGAATAGCACCAAGGGTGGACATTGAGGAAGCGGCTGAAGTCGTAGAAGAATGTCTTCTAGTGCATGAGGAACCACAAACTTACAACGAAGCATGTATTGAGAAAGAATGGAGAGAGGCCATGAAAGAAGAGATCAACATGATTGAGAAAAACAAGACATGGAAACTAGTCGACAAGCCGGAGAACAAACGTGTTATAAGTGTGAAGTGGATCTACAAGATCAAAACGGATGCAAATGGTAATCCGATCAAACACAAGGCAAGACTAGTAGCAAGAGGGTTTTCTCAAGAATATGGAGTTGATTACCTTGAAACGTTTGCCCCGGTTTCAAGACATGATACAATAAGAGCCATCCTTGCGTATGCGGCTCAAATGAAATGGAGATTGTATCAAATGGATGTCAAATCAGCCTTTCTAAATGGAGAACTAAAAGAAGAAGTTTATGTCACACAACCACCTGGGTTTGTGATTGAAGGCAAAGAAGAAAAGGTGTTAAGGCTATACAAGGCTTTATATGGTTTAAAGCAAGCGCCAAGGGCTTGGTATGGAAGGATAGATTCTTACTTCATTCAAAACGGTTTTGAGAGAAGTATGAATGATGCGGCCTTATACATCGTGAAGCAAGGAGAAGACGTGTTGATTGTTAGCTTATACGTCGATGATATCATCATCACAGGGAGCAACATTCACCTCATCAACACGTTCAAGGAGAACATGAAGAAAGAATTCGAGATGACGGATCTCGGGTTATTAAATTATTTTCTTGGTATGGAAATAATTCAAGGTGATCAAGGCATATTTCTTTCACAAGAAAAATATGCAAACAAACTTATTGACAAGTTTGGAATGGGAGAAAGCAAGAGCGTAAACTCACCACTAGTACCACCGGGAAAGAAGATGAATGATGACAAAGAATATGGTGATCAAACTAAGTATAGGAGCATTGTTGGAGGACTTTTGTACCTATGTGCATCAAGACCTGACGTGATGTATGCAAGCTCTTATCTATCAAGGTTCATGTCATCACCACTAGTGAAGCATTACCAAGAAGCAAAAAGGGTGTTGCGATATGTCAAAGGAACGTTAAACTTTGGAATGAGTTTTACAAGTGTGGAGACACCAAGACTGATAGGCTACTCGGACAGCGATTGGGGCGGTTCTACAAAGGACATGAAAAGCACATCAGGTTATGTCTTTACTCTTGGATCGGGTATGTTTTGTTGGCAGTCAAACAAGCAACAAACCGTGGCCTTATCAACGGCGGAAGCAGAGTACATCGCCGTATGTGGTGCAGCAAACCAAGCTGTTTGGTTACAAAGGCTCTTGAAGGAGTTTGGTCTCAAGACTGAAGGGGGAGTTCCCATCTTGTGTGACAACAAGTCGGCAATAGCAATTGGAAAGAATCCGGTGCAGCATAGAAGAACAAAGCACATAGAGATCAAGTATCACTATGTAAGAGAAGCTGAACAAAAAGGGCTCATTCAACTAGAGTATTGCAAAGGAGAAGATCAACTCGCGGACATCTTCACTAAGGCTCTAAGTGGAACAAGGTTTGAAGATCTAAGGAAGAAGCTTGGAGTGAAGCCGAGATTTGATTAAGGGGGAGTGTTGAACTATAATCAAATCCTCATCAGTTCGTATAAACTAAAGTCATATTTGTATAAGTTAGTTATTTATGTAAGAGTCACGTTTGTACGGTTGTGTCTATTCGATTAATACATGTACAATCACGTCGGTTCGTGTTGTATAAGTAGAGATCGAGTCTCTGTTTCATTCATTGTATTGTATTGAATCGTGTGTGTAACACATTGTTTCTCTTATCAATAAAAGATCAAGTTTCCTTACATACTCTGTTTTTTCATTCTGTTCTTCATACTTTACTAGAACAGAGTTCGTTTTGTTCTTCAAAACACCAACAAAATGCTTGTTTGTTAATTACCTCGTGTTTTTTATGTTTCTTTGCTCGGTCTGAAGACTGATTTCTTCTTGCAGATTTATTCCTCCTGAAAGCTTTGACTTGACTGTTCTGACAGTTGACTTAGAATTTGTCAAAAAAGGGACTAAAAATGAACAGATTGATGCTACTCTCCTCTCAACTCAACTGAAGAAGAAATTCACTAACCAGGTAGATTCTTGGATTATTAGTGTGATAGTTGTGGATCATAGTTGAAGATTCTTGTCTTTGCCATCATGCACTGATTGGTTCTCAATGAGTTGTATTTGATGAATGTTTTGCAACTTATTATTTTGTGTGCTTTATTATTTCTAGACCATGCGATGACACAATTTATGCGTATATATCTATGCAGGTCTTGACAGTAGGTCAAAGAGTTACATTTGAGTATCATGGAACTAACTACATTTTTACGGTCAATCGAGCGGTTATAGTGGCTGATGATGAGAACCAAACTAATTGTATCGAAAGAGGGATGATTTGTAAGGATACATATTTTGTGTTTGAAGCATCAAATGCAAGTGGCATAAAGGTTTGGTTTTGATTAATTATCTTATAGTATTCTGTGTTATTTAGTTTGTTAGTTATGTTAATACCAATCAACTGACAATCTGATAGCATATACAAAATAAAAAATGTATGTTCTGATGTTACTTGCTAATTCCGATTTCATTGTTTTAAAGTTGAGTTTTGTAACTTTGTATATACAGATTATCAACCAACGAGAATCTGTTACAAGCAAGATATTTAAAGAAAAGGAGTTTAACCTTCAATCCCTAGGTATAGGTGGTTTAGGTGCAGAGTTTGTTGCTATATTTCGAAGAGCTTTTACTTCTCGTATACTTCCTCGCGATGTCGTGAACAGGTTCTGGTTCAGACCTCAACTGTTTCAAAATGCCATTTCTTGCTTTTCTATGTATTCTTTATTTCCTTGTAAGTTTATTCTTTTGATCTTGCAGAATTGGGGCAAAGCACGTTAAAGGGATGCTTCTGTTTGGACCTCCCGGTACTGGCAAGACCTTGATGGCACGCCAAATTGGCAAAATGCTTAATGGAAAGGAGCCAAAGGTTTAGTTAATAACGCCTCTATACCCCCTAATTAATTTCATTCTGTCTTCTAATTAGTTGGTCATCTAAGATGTCACTCATTTTTTCCTTAAATGTATGAAATCTATGGATTGTGTTAATATGTAATGCCTTTAGTTTTTCTTCTCTTGACATAATAGATCGTTAATGGTCCTGAAGTGCTAAGCAAGTTCGTCGGCGAGACAGAAAAGAATGTAAGAGATCTGTTTGCTGATGCTGAAAATGACCAGAAAACACTTGGTGCGGAATGATAAAATCTTTTTACCCTGATTTGTGCTTTATTTTATGTTGTCCTAATATTTTGGCATTCTTAATTTAACTTTTCAGGTGATGCTAGTGAGCTACATATCATTATTTTCGATGAAATTGATGCTATTTGTAAGGTACATGGCTTCATATCAAAAATACTAAAAATACTCTGTTTTTTTTTAGTAAAGTTAGTTAGTTACCTGATGCTAAGTGTATGCTTGGATAACTTTCAGTCAAGAGGGTCAACCAGGGATGGGACAGGTGTCCATGATGGTATTGTAAACCAGCTCTTGACAAAGGTCAACCATCATCAAATAAGCTATTTTTTTTCTGTCTTTTTTTGGCTTTTTCAAATGTTTTTCAAATATGGCTAACATTCTGTGTCTGTTATTCAGATAGATGGTGTTGAGGCTTTGAACAATGTTTTACTAATTGGAATGACAAATAGAAAAGATATGCTTGATGAAGCTCTTTTAAGGTCTCTGCATCCTTGTGCTGATTAGTATTATGTCATTTCATTTTATCTTCCAACTATGTCTAAAGTAGTTTTACATATATATATATATATCCTAGTTTGGCTTATATTTTTTTTTTGAATTGTACCTACAGGCCTGGAAGATTAGAGGTTCATATTGAAATTAGTCTTCCCGATGAAGTTGGACGTTTACAAATTCTTCAGATTCATACAAAGAAAATGAAGGATAATTCTTTTCTTTCTCCTGATGTCAATCTCCAAGAACTTGGTATGCCTTTTAATTTGCATTTGTATTGATGTTAAAATATATATGACACTTAATTGACATGATTTATCTAATTTTAAAGCTGCTAGGACAAAGAATTACAGTGGTGCTGAGCTTGAAGGTGTAGTAAAAAGTGCAACATCATATGCTTTCAATAGACAACTGAGCATGGAAGATCTAACAAAGCCAGTGGATGAAGAAAATATTAAAATTACTATGGATGATTTTCTTCAAGCCCTACTCGAAGTTAAACCTGCATTTGGAGCCTCTTCAAAAGACCTTGAACTCTGCAGGTAATATAAACTCCATTGCTCTAGGTTTAGTCAACTTAAATGTGTTCATATTTTTTTTGCTCAGAAAATGTGTTCATATATATTGCATTATCTGTGAATTTTTATATATGCATGTGTATAGTGCTGATTGTTTCCTCTATTTTACAAACATGTATATATATAGACCTAAGGGATTTGTGGATTGTGGTTATCGGCAAAAGTACATCTACGAAAGAGTCATGTTTCTTGTTGAGCAAGTTAAAGTCAACGAAAGAAGTCCTCCACTCACTTGCCTTCTTCATGGGTCTAGTGGAAGGTAAATTATTTCAAACGCGTTTACGTTTATATGCGAAAAAGTTTATTTATTTTAAACATATATACTTTTTAAAAGTAAACTTTTAATTAGCGTTTGCGTTGGTTATCGAAGTTTTAGCGTTTTGTTTCTAGCGTTTACTGATTTTTAAGCTTCTTGGGCAGTGGAAAAACTGCGTTAGCCGCGACCATTGGCATCGACAGTGACTTCCCATATGTCAAAATAGTAAGTGGGCCAAGTTAGGAATTTTGAACTTTACTAAATTCGCATCTTTTTATGTCTTTTGATATTTTGTTTCACTACATTGACAAGGTCTCTGCAGAGGCTATGAATGGCCTTCATGAGAGCAAAAAATGCGCACACATTACCAAGGTCCCTAGCTTTTTAAAAGCTTTCTAATTTCTTTTAACTTTGTGCTCTTTTAATTCATTTATCTACTAATTAACACTGAAATGAGAATAGGTCTTTGAAGATGCATACAAATCACCAATGAGCATAGTTATCCTTGACGATATTGAAAGGTCAATCATACTATTTGTTTCAAAGTTCTTATTTTCACACACTTTGCGATTATTGATTTTTTATGGGAGCTCATCAGTTGAATATCTATAACATTGTAGGCTGTTGGAGTACACTGAAATTGGACCGCGATTTTCAAACGAAATCCTTCAAACATTATTGACTTTCCTCAAACAGTCTCCTCCTGGTGTATGTAGTTATTATTCATTGCTTATGGTTGCAAAATTTAGTTCATTACGGTAGAAATTATATAAAATCCCACTAACTTTAATTTGTAATTATTTTTTTGTTGGTGTTGCTAGGGAAGCAAACTTCTTGTACTTGGTACAACAAGTGAAGTAACGTTCTTAAAATCTGTTGGTTTGCGTAAAACTTTCTCTGTTACGTACTATGTTTCATTATTGAGGACAGAGGATGCCATGAAGGTAACCTAGTTTCTTTGCTCCCTCACTTTTTGTGTTGGCTCATCTTTTAGAAACCAGGCTAGCCTGGCTCATACCGGGTCGTACGTCCCAACCCTAGTTTCTAACATGTTCCATGCATGATTCAGGTGCTAGAGCAACTAAACGTGTTCTCAGAAGATGATATCGAAGAAGCTTCTGAAGCCCTTGATGATGTATGTACTCGATCTCATTGAGTCTTGATTATTAGATCATTGCTTCTAAACATTTTCTTACATGTTTTTTCAGATTCCAATAAAGCAGCTATACCTTCTTATGGAGATGGCAGCTCAAAGAGATGGCATGTCCAAAGAGCCGATCTACAACAGGAAGGAGAAACTCAACATCTGTCATTTCTTAGATTGTCTTCAAGAAGTTAACGGCTGCATCTGAAGTTACCATTAATTCATTTAAGACGATCATATTGATGTGTCTAATGAAATCGTACTGAGAAGAGGACTCATATGTTGCAACAAAAAAAAGCCTTCAGATTGCATTGCCCAAATTGTTTTTACATTTTTATATCGTTTTGGATTATATATTAAAATCGATTTGACTATGATCTTTATTTTATGTGTTATCGATCTTTATTTGCATCACTTGAAAAAAAAAAAAATTGTGAAATTGATAGTAATATATAAAATCGTATTAAGCAAGTATATTTCATATTTGTATGCAACAGGGATAACGAAACTCATGTGTTTAGAGTATTATGACGTAACCTGATTCTTAACAACTTGGTATAATACCTGAGCAAACTTTGTTAATAATTAACATGTACTCTAAATGCTGGTACTACATGGTAATATCTGGTTATACTTGGTTACATGTGAAGCACAAGTGAATATTAAATTGGTTTACATTAAAATAATTAACGTCGATTAATTAGGTGGCACTGCACTAAAAGATCATCGATTAATTATTACATTTCATGCCCGATAATAATAAAATTTTTGAGACAACTATATAGCAATACAACATAACTTGTGTTTTTTACTAATCGTCACTTGTGTTGTGTTGATCATGTTTGAGAAATCTAATCGATTGTACCTAGGTTTTTAGGAATATTATGAAAATTGTTACCTGATGAATGTTTAATGTTTAATGTTCGAGTCTTAATATTGTCCTCTTAATATTGAAATTGTCTACTGAGTCTTAATATTGTCCTCTTGTTATTGTATTGTCCATCAATATTTTCCTCTTGTTCAATTTAAACGCATTATACAAATAAGTTCCACAAACATTAGATATAGTAATATTTTTAGCACTCCTTTTAAAATAATACAGTAAATGTAAGTTTACATTCCCACCTAAAAAAATGTAAGTTTACCTAAGATATCGTAAAAACTCAAAAAGAACAAAGAACTTACCACGTGTTTTAATTAGATAAGATTCACTTGATTATCATCGTAATAATAGTTTTGGTTAAGTTAATAAAACCTCAAATTGGCACATCGTAATAATTAGCCCTGGGACTTCGGTGGAATCGGGTTATTCGGTTCGGGTTGTTCGGTTTGCCTTAGATTCGGTTCTTTGAAATTTGTACCGGATTAATCCGAATTGTAATTCGGTTCGGGTTCGGTCGGTTGTCGGTTTAATCGGGTCGGTTAGTTGATGTAATTTAGCCTCTGAGAACAAATGAATATAGTGTCCAATTCGGTTAATTTAAACCGAATATGACATTTTCCAAAGTCAACACAAGCTTAACTACTACATAATGACACAAAAGAAGGAAGAACCATTACAAAACCATACATAAAGCTGTACTGGTAGCTTAAAGCTGTGTTTGTGAGTTTAAGCTACTAGTACATACCATGAAGCTGCCAAGCTAGCATTTTATCAAAGTTTAAGCTAGCATTACATCAAAAAACAATAACAGAACCATACAAATAACAAGTTTGCTTTAGTAGTTAGCTTACCATATGCAGATTCACAAAAGCATGTTGATTCGCACCAAAAAATTGTCAAAACAGCAGCTTCAAAGTCAGTACTGTCCAAGGATGCTTTTCTACATCAAAAGGACAAAAAACCGCAGCTTCCTACCTACCTAATAGAATCATACCAAAGACATAACATTGTAAATCAAAAACAGAATCAAATACTTAACAATGAACTACTTAGACTACAACATAACCAGAATCATACCTGCCATACTATGAAGAATCATGTAAGAGCAATTGTTGAATTTCGAGCATCTAGACAAGAAAACAGAAACATGAGATTAGTTATAGCCTTATACTTATCAACAGTCTTGAAAGGATAAAAAAACTGAATCAAAGAGAATAGTTAAACTTACCAAGTGACTCAAAAAAATCAACTTCTTCTAACATTTGGGCCAAGTTTGTTACAGCATCCTCTTTTTTATAGGAACACCTTAACCATTTTTGTGTGCATATTAAAACCTCAACCATGTAAGGAGTTAAAGAACTCCTATAAGGATCCAACACCCTTCCACTCGTACTAAATGCAGACTCTGAAGCTACAGAGGAGGCTTGAATAGCAAGAACATCTCTAGCAAATTCTGACAAGATTGGGAACTTAGGGCAATTGCGTCTCCACCAACTGAGAACATCATAAGGAAACCCCAACTTATTTTCAATTCTAGCCTCAGTTTGTTCTGTGAGATACATTTTTAACTCATTGCAACTATCATCATTACCCTTCAAGCCAACCACTTTATCAAATAATGACAGCATCCCTTCACAATCATCTTCATCATCAGATAACACAAAGTTCTCAGGCTGTGGCTGAGAATCTGGTTCTTCATTTTCTACAGGTTTGCTCAGCTTGAAACTGTAATCCTCATACATTGAACTCATGACACTTGAAACAGATGCATGGAGTTTTCTATTCTCTATGGTATCTTTACCATAGAGCTGGTCAAAGCAGAGTGAAGCAAACCTCATCTTGTTGCGAGGATCAAAGACACTAGCCACAATCACTAGAGGATTCATGTTACCTAATCCATCCCAATACTTGTCAAACTTATCTCTCATGGCAGTAGCCATCTTTCTGGTCTCCTCTTCGGGACTGTGAGACTTAGTGATGAGACTCCTCTCAATGTCCACAATTTCATTGTAACACAAAGTGGAAGTCACTGTCTTTGATGCAGAGAAAGTGACAGTACCCTTGTAAAAGACTTTAAGAAACTTCACTAACCTTGAAACTTTATCCCAATCAGAAGAAGTTGGTGGTCCTATTCTTTTAGTCTTGGTCTTCTCCTCCTCCTCTTCCAAGAAATAAGCACAATATAGCTTATCCTCAGCTTCCATCTTCTCAAAAGCAACCCTCAGCTTCAAAGCTGAGTTCAACATCAGATATGTTGAGTTCCATCTAGTGACAACATCTAATGGCAAGTTGCCTCTACACAACTTTGCTGTCTCACACCTCAATGAAAAAGACTTCAGCCTACTAAAGTTTGACCTGACATACTTAACTGCATTCCTAACTGCAACAACTTCTCGCTGTGCTTTCTTCAAACCATCTCCAACAATCAGATTGAGGATGTGTGCACAGCAGCGCATATGTATGAATTTACCATCCTTAACTAAAGCTTGTAATCCTATCAGCTTAAACGCTTCCTTAAAAGCATCCAAAGCCTTGTCATTGTTCCTTGCATTATCAACTGTAATTGTATAAACCTTCTCAATTCCCCATTCTTCTAAACAATCCAACAACTGACCTGCTATGGTATCTCCTTTATGATCTGTGATCACCTTAAAGCTGAGAATTCTCTTCTGCAATTCCCACTCTGTATTAACCCAGTGACCTGTGATCACCATGTAGTTGAAAGAAGTAATAGGACATGTCCATATGTCTGTAGTCAGCGACACCCTTTGTTTCTCAACACGAAACAAAGTCTTTAAAGCTTCCTTCTCTTCCAAATACATCCCAACTATGTCTTGACTGCATGTCTTTCTACAAAAGGTCTTGTACATAGGCAAGACATTGAAACAGAACCGCTTCCAACCCTCAGATTCTACAAATGAGAATGGCAACTCATTGACTACTACCATCTCATTAACTGATCTCCTAAACAAATGCGGATCATACTTAATCACCTTCAGATTCCCTTTGTTATCACCACTTAGAACCTTCTGATTTTCCTTATCTACCCAATCCTTGTAATGTTTGCATACTTTTATGTGACCAATCATTGGACTAGTACCAACCTTTTTTGAATCACAACCAATCTCTGCTAAACAGTACTTACAGTAGCTCTTAGTAGGATCTTCTCTCTGCAGAAAATGTTCCCAAATAGGAGCTCTTTTTGCATACTTCTTCCGGGGTTTGGGTGGCTTATCACCACCAGAGGCAGGCCTTGGACGTTTCTGCCCAGTTACATCACTATGAACTTCTTCTGTCGTCTGAGGTTGAACAGGAGGTTCAGTATCTTTCTCGACGTTCACGTTCTCCTCTTCTGGCATCTACAGAATATATAAACAAAAGAGGTTCAGTCATACAATTTATAACCAATGACTTTCAAGTATAACAAAGGCCGAACCCCTAAATTTCTGGATGAAAAATGGAGTCCAAAACCCTAACATTCTCACAATCGAAGATTTGAGTAACATTAGGGTTTTGAATCCCAATTAATCATCCAGATATTAGCAAGTCGACATTAGCTTATTAGCTAACAAGAAGAACGAAGATCTGACCTCTAACACTTTCTCGGTTACGGGTTGAATTTCGGAGAAATGGAAGTAGAATCACGAGGGTATGAAGATGTAGAAGTGTAGAAGATGATGAATTGATGAAGGTAGGAAGATGAGATGATGTTTAGATCAGAGAATAAGGATGAAAACTGATGAGATTAGGGTTTAGGATTCCACTCTCTGTTTCGCATGCGGCAAAGGCGAAGAAGAAGAGAAATGAAATTAGGGTTAATGTCTTAGGATTAGGCTTATATAGGTCTGCTACGAATGGGCTTAATATTGCTAATGGGCTACATAAAACCTAATAATTCTAATGGGCTACATAAAACCGATCGGGCCGATTACCGAACCGATCCGACCCGAAAACCGACCCCCCAAATAATTGATTCCGATCCATTCGGTTTGGTCTCCTCAATTCGGTCTGTCCCGATAACCGAAAATTTTGGGTTCCTCGGGTCGGTTTGATCGGTTCTTACCGAAGTCCCATGGCTAGTAATAATGGTTTTGGCAAGAATTAAATTAGGACATGGTTATAGTTGTCACAAGACACGCCAAGATATTCACAACCCCCAAAGTATCATTACTGACAGATTTACATCAAAGTGACTATAGCGTTACCTGTAGTGGCGATTTACCCTAGTCTAAAGATTTAGCGAGTTCCCAAAAAAAAGAAAAAGAGACTAAAAACAGCGTAAAGATTGATTTGAAAAGCGTGTATTGTCGATTTCTCACTGCATTAACTTAAGATTGCTTTAGAAAATTAAAAAGGAATTTTCATTTCAGTACATCTAATGTAAACATTTTTGAAGTTATAATATTTTAGCACTCTTTTTAAAATAATAAGCGTCGTAATGCTACTAGCCTACTACAGTAAATGTAAGTTTACATTCCCACCAAAAAAAATGTAAATTTACATAAGATATCGTAAAAACTCAAAAAGAACAAAGAACTATAACAAAATACAACTTATTATAAGGGTGAGATTTACATCCATTTGAGAGTACAAGAGAAAATGTGTAGATTTTCTTTATATAAGGAGACAAATTCCAATTAGTTGAGATATTTTTGGGTTCAAAAGACTTCCTTGGAAGCGTGACTCTGATCTGAAAAAAATTGCATAATATTCAAAAACGAACAAATGACATCAAAACAGAGAAAAACTTCAAAATAAGTTTTTATGCTTAAATAATAAATTAAAAATCACATTAGGTTAAATATACAACTCTTTAGAATCTAACCTATAAATACACAAAAATACATTTCTAAAATTTATAGATCTATCTTTAAAAGAGTGAAAGATGATAATCATGTAATGAAAAACAAGATAAATTAGTGAGAAAGACATAAGAAAAATGAAAAATTGATATAAACCTTGGTGTTTTAAGTTCTAAGAGATTAAAGAGACGTTGGAGAGTTTTAGAGTGAGAAACATACTTTTTTGCTGCATCCATTTGACGGGAAAGAAAGAGATGTGTAAATTTTCTTTATATAGGGAGACAAAAATTTTAATTAGGTTAAATATTTCGATACAGACATGAAAGTCTTCTAAACCCTAAATTTACTATACGACGAGAATATTTACCTAGAAGTCTTCGAGTCCATTATTTGTGGAAAAATTTAAATCTTCTAAACCCTAAAATCAAATAACTAACTAAATAGCAACAAACACATCATTAAACTAAATTTAACTTATAAAATGTTTAATATACATGAAACTAACATATATAAGTCAAATTTAAATTTAAAAGAAAAAGAAATTAAGAATCCAAAATCTAACCCTAGAAATACAAACGATACAATGACATATGTTCCAAACACCAAACCAAAGAATATCGTGACTCAATCTACATTCATTCATCTATGTTGAAAACAATTCAATTTACTAAACCTAAATTTATTTCATTTACAAATGTTTATAATTACATGATTTATTTTTTCCTTCAAAAAGTGTATTTATAAAAAAAATTAATTTTTTTTTAAAATGTACTCCTTGAGAAGACTTTCATGGAAGTCTTCTCAGAGAAGGCGGTTCCTTTTGCATTTTGACTCATTTAAAAAAAACAATTGTAATTTCAATTGTCTTTTAGGTTACTTTTGCATTTGATACAAATTTGGGTATACTTTTGCATTTTCCCCTTTATATTCTGTATAGAAATGATGGATGTTGCTGTTATTTTTAATTCAAGCCAAAAGAAATTATTGAAAATAAAAAAAAATGTGATCTCAGAACTCTTTTTTCTTTAATTGTTAGTTAATAGTATTGTTTTCAATTTAGAATTAAAATTCATTTAAAATAGCATTTATTATACATTTCGCCAGCAGGACAAGTTAACCATTAGTTTAAAATAAATATATCATTTTCTCTCGAGACACCACACGATAAGATTCAAAATAATTAAGGGAACGCTTACCACTGAAGTATATTGAGTTTCTATTGACTCCTTCAATTGAATAGACATTAGGATTAGACATTTTATTCGTTAAATTTGTTTTTGATTTGATCTAAAAATTAGGATATCCGTTAAAATTTATGGGGCAAGGCGGATATTAAAAGTCAATATCCGAAAAACGAAGCAAATCACAGATACCAAAAGAAATTAGAATATGATATCTGCTCCATTATGATATTTATACAAATATGAGTATATCCATAATTAAATTGAGAGTTTTAAATGTATAATTTATATAATTGTATTTTATCATTTAATTTTAATATATTTTTAAATAAAATCACATAAAACATTAATTAAGAAAAGAATATAAAAATTTTATAAGAATAATTAATTTTGAAAATTTATAGGACGTATAGTTTCAATAAATTTTACTTTTTATTTGTATTATGCAAAAGATATGTTTTTGAAACAAAATTGAATATACTATTTAGATTTCGTGTATTGAACAAAGCGGATAAAAAGTTCCTAAAAAATCGAGTTAATTGTTACTAGAAAATCAAGTCAATTGTTCCTAGGATATTTATGTTTTTTTTCAAATATAAAATATCGAGACAAATTTCCAACACATATTAGTTTCTACAACCGTTGTAAAACATCATAAATGAGATTCGCAAAAAAAAAAAGTCATAGAGTTGCAAAGAGAACGAAGTACCAAAGACTTGTAGCAAAAAAAAGTAAGAAGAAGATTGGATGGTGTGAGATAGGGATGGTCCTACCAAAGACTTGTACCCTCATGAGTTTGACGTGCTCAACAAGTAGTCCCCGACTGTCAAATGAAGATGGTCTCCAAGGACCACACTCACCACTGGCAGCTTCTCAATGCAACTTACAGTTATTATCTGCTCATACAAGAAAAGAAGAAAGGATTGATTTAGGCACAACAACAATCTTTAGGTTCATCAAAAGCTTAACTAAATCCATACCTTCCCATTTCCTTTTTGGAATTCTGATTTTAAATTCGATTGGTCCCGTGATAACAAGTACGCTTGGAGCCCCCTTGCAAATTTCTCATCTCCTAAAACCCATATATTTGCATTCGTCAAACAGAGGTAGATAATCAACAATTGTTATTGTGATAAGATGGTGACTCACCTGAAAACAAGGCAAGAATAGCATCTTCGTTGAACTTCAAAGCCGGCGAGCCAAGCTAATCTTAAACGACAGCTTTGATACGTTTTGGAAACTCTCGTCAGATAGTATCACCTGCAAAAGATCATTCATTACGTTTATGACTTATTAGCGCAGGCATGCAAGGAGTGTTGATGATGATGACTTACTGCATGAGATGGCATCAACGTAGACGGAAGCAAAGATGAACCAATTGTATCCTTAATGTATTGTTCCTGCCCACGAAAAGATGAACGATATGATATTCTCTTATTATAGCAATGGACTTGACAAGTTGAAAACTGAAAAGAACAAACGCAAAATTACCTGAGAGCACAGAACTTGTTGCAAAGCAGATTCATCCTTGTCCAATGATTCAATGTACACTTCCACAACGTCTGTTGGTTCCAAACCTGACTTCTTCCGTAGTTTTTGGATCCTATTGACAATCTATATAGCACAGGGAAACAACAGCTCAGCACTCTGGAAGAAAATTGATAAGATACAGAAAAAGGGAAGGGAACACATCCCATCGATTAATATAACGACATTCTTAACAAAAATTATCTTGCTTCACATCTATTTACCTCACGAGCAACACCTGCTTCATACAACGAATCATCTGGCTGTAGATTCAGAATCACCAAACATCACCTGAATCATTAACGAAAGCAAATGTTACATGTTATATCATTAACAGTAGACCGAGCACCCGTAATCAGATTAAGATTTTAATTTTAAAAAAGTGACAATAGACAAGGGTAAAATCCCGTACCATCTCCATTAGCATCAATCTCCGTATCTTTCAAACCATCCGGGCGTTTGAAAACCCTGACAATCTGAACAACACATGAAAGAAAAGTGTCGGCATTTAGCTATTTAGAGCATGTTCTTCATTCCATCCCACAAGAGAAAAGCATAGGATGAGAAAGATACCTTGATATCTGTTAGCTCCAGCGTGTGTCCAGCAATAGTAACTTTTCCGGTCTCCTCAAATCTTAAGATATCTTGCTGAGACATTTCTTTAACTTCTTTTGCAACAAGCCTCATTGACTTTCCAAGACGTTTTCCCAATACACTATAGAGCAATATGATAAATCAAAATTGCTTTCTACATTGAGCACAAAAGGTTAAAAAGCAAAAAAGCAGGACAAAAATTTGATCAAACCTGAAATCTGGTTCTGCTTTAGAGACGCATACTGAGAGTATCATTGCATGGCACAAGAGATCTTACATAAGTTCTTCCAAGACATACTGCAAGAAGGAAAATCAAAATGGAATGTATTGCTTTTTGAAACAAATACCGTAGAGATATGTTTTTGCTGATTACAACCTCAAAAATTTCTAGTAGATATTTCTATATAAATAAACTTCAAGAAAGATACCACAGACCTCTTTTAGTTTCCAGTTATGTCATCCAAGAATTCTGCATCTGGATGAACTACAGTGATTTCCCTGATACAACAAGGATAAGCATGTGTTACTATTTTTTTCTGTTCAGTATAGGCCCTAACCAAACAGATGTTACAAACCAGAACAGTGATAAAGTTCAACGCTCACTTTAGAGGAGTTTTCAAGGGTAGCTTGTGACGCTCACGAATGTTCCGAGCAAGATCGATGATTGTCATCATCCTTGTACACTTTGCTCAATCCTCTCCACTCTCTGGTTAAATACAAAAAGAAAGCAAAATGTCAAGACAATTCGTATGCTATCCTGAATACAGAGATGGACTTCAGTATTACCGTTCCTTCAGCTTCCTCCGGGAAAACTGCAGTAATGAATGCTTTCCTCTGAACCTTCACATGCTTTCCGCAGATTCTGGTATAGCGTCTCAGTGAAAAAAGGTGTAAAAGGGGTCATCACTTTGCAAGAAGTGAGGAGCACCTGAAAATCCAGACGCAATTATTAGTCAGTCATTACACAAATGTCCAAATAATTAGGTCAGCATGAAAACAATAGTATTCCCACAACTATTTACAATATATACATTGTATAGAGTTGAAAGAGCAATGTGACAATCATCTTCTCCTGTACGGCCTTTTAACCTCTTGCGGTTGAATCTAACATATATGTTAGTGAGATTGTCGAGGAACTTCAAAAGATACGGAACACCTGGAAAAGAAAGTTGTGATAAATACCACGAGACACTGATAACTTGTTTTCTAGTATAGACACCACATCACGGTGAAAAGAGATATAAATAGCTTACAGTATAAAGCCGGTAACCATCCATCTCCTGACGGACAAAAACAAACAAGACTCTGGGTAGCTGAGTAAATCCACTGATCGAGAACGTTTGATGACCGTAAAGTAGATAGATCAGTAGGAACAAATGGTCCAGAAACCTCAATCTCAAGTCTCTTTGCATTCTGAACAAGGAATCTGTATGCATTGTACCATGGAAGAAATACATCTTTGACCTAGTGACCCCCCATACAGAGACCAAAACAGTTCAGACAAACAATAGATCTCTACTCAAATAAGCAGAAATAAAGTTAACAACCAGATTACTCACAACACCAAGTACTCCTTCCTTTCTGAAGCGTAGTGGCTCGGCGCGTACGATCGGAGAATTGATGAGGTACAATCGCACAGCATCCTGTCAGCGTTTACGTAAAGTTACTAATTAATGACACCAAGATTTCCATAGCTAAAACGCAGCATAACAGCATATTACAGGGAAAACTTACAGCTCCGTACTCATCTATGACTTCCAGAGGAGGCGGATAATTATCTAAACTCTTACTCATCTTTTTTCCATCCTCAGCAAGCACAAGACCATTGCAAATCAGATTTCGAAATGCTGGCTTTCCAAATAATGCAGTCGACAGCACCATAAGAGTATAAAACCTGTATATGCCAAACCAGTAGTTAAGATGTTATTAATTGTCTACTAAGCAGAAAAACAATATTGTTTTTCAATACACTTCTAAAATCACATTTGCTTTATACTAATAACACCTTCCATTAGCCTCGACTCATTACTTAATTTAAGTACAGTAATTGAGGATAGTTAAGATCTAGATCATCCAATACAGTAAAGGGAGGGAGCAAGCCAGAGATATAATAAGAGATGATTTACATATGCAGGTTTAACATACCATCCACGAGTTTGATTCAAGCCCTTCAGCCACAAAATGACCAGGGAAGTTACTCTCAAAAAGCTCCTTGTTTTCAAAAGGATAATGGATGTACGCATAAGGCATTGACCCACTCTCAAACCAACAATCAAAAACCTGAAAAGGTAATATAAGCACAAGTGTGAGATAACACTACAGAACACCAAGGATTATAGATGAAATGAGAGAGCATGAGATCCATCTTACGTCTTCTACACGACGGAGCAACACCAAACTCAGGCCCACGACTAGATGGGATTGTAATTTGATCAATATGGTGACGATGTAGATCAAAGACCTGCACCAGAAAGACAAAATGAGCGCAAGGAATATATATATATATATATATATATATTTTTGACAAGTAGTTGCAGGAGAAAGATAGACAAACAACAAAAGAAGAGACCTTGACACCAGAGAGCTTTTCAAGCTTCTCGACAGAATCCATGACAACAACTTCCTCACCATCATCACTGATCCATATTGGTAGAGGCGTGCCCCAAAATCTACTTCGGCTAATGCACCAATCCCTTGCATTTTCAAGCCAATTGTGAAAGCGTTTATCCTGAGTTGCAGGTATTAGAATAACTTTATTAATGTCATTAACTAAAACTGCTAAACTTGTAATGTTAAAGAGTATTAATCCTTCTTCCACTGACCTTCACATGATCAGGTACCCAGTATGTCTGTTCATTGTTTTCTAACAACTGTTCCTTCAACTGGTCCTCCACCCGGACAAACCTGACAGTTCAAAGAACACAAGAACCAAACAACAAGCTTCATAGAATCAAACAACGATACAGATCTGATGTTCACTACTTACTGAAAAGAAATACAATATGAAAATGAAAACGTGGAAATCAAGATATCCCAAATAGTTTGGCGATTTGACTGCCAAAAAATACAGAATAGCAGAAAGAAAGAGACTGCCAGCAAGAAGCATACCAACAGGGAAGGGCTCTATATATGAGAGGAGTGTCTGATCGATAGCAAAACGGATATGAGTGAGTAAAGCTCCCAGTTTTGACAAGTCTGCCTTTGGTCTGAGATAACAAGAAATATTATTTAACATCAGAAGCGGCTAATTCAATGGTCCAAATGCACATCAATACGCACCTTCACGGCTTCAATTATATCCTTGTCGGCATCTTTGACATACCGGCCAAAGAAATGGGTAATTCTCTCAGTAAAAAGCCCATCCTCATCAACAGCCACAACTAGATTTTCACCCTGAAAGAGAATACAAAAAGCATATAGAACGTTTAACATAAGGAGATAAAGGATATCATTAGAGTGAGAGAGAAAATACAATGAAAGATCTCTTCCTAAACAAATAAATGATACAGTGTAATCCCTTAAACCCCAAAGAAATCCTTAACAGTTACCCAACCAAAATCAAAGATCAAAGATCAACTACTTTTCTATAGTCATGCCCTGACGTTTAGGGATTGATAAGGAGAATGAAGTCAAAACCTAACCTGTTCAACGATCTTGTTCTCAAGACAAACACGGTAATCGTCTTCACCAAAGGCAGGAGCACAGTGGACGATGCCAGTACCACTGTCATCAGTGACATAATCATCTGCTACTACTCGAAAGGCCACACATGAGAAATCACTAAAGTAGTCAAACAAAGGTTCATACTTCTTCCCAACCAGGGAAGCTCCATCAAATTTCTCCAAAACTTGATAAGAATCAGCTGCACTATCACCACCTTTGGGTTTAGGATTTGATTTCTTGGTATCAGCGGGAAGGGCTGAGAGGCGAGATTCAGCAACCACGTAGACTCTCCCATTGTGCTTGTTACGACCTTGAGATAACAAAATTGGGATTGACACACAAAGCAAGATTGCTAGGAAGAGTCCATGGAGTAGTAGTCCAAGCCACAAAAGCAGCATTATCTTGATCGCCAATAACTGGGAACGTCACCATAATCTCAGGATCTGAAACGTCCTTGTAGTTCAAACCAGCTTCTGAATTAGATAATTGGTGTCTTGAGACCAGTACTATAAGGCATAACCTGCACATAACGAAATTGAATCGGTTCACCAGATTTCAATCAAAGCACATAGCATATAAAATAATAAAAGGGAGGAAAGCCAAACCTTGAAGCCTTTGTAGACAAGATTCTTAATCAAAAAGCTGAGCAAAAACCCACCAAACACTTTCCATAAAAGGCAGATCCATCGTCTATAGTCGTTCTTGAAATCAATCCAACGACCACTTCTAGTAATACACCTCTCCCACTCCTCCACATACCGAGTCACAACACTCCTACACTCTTCGTTATACTTATCAATCCCCATCTGAAGCACTTGTGCTCTCCTCTCAATACCGAGCTTCTTTTCATCAGTTGCTCAACCGGAGGCCGTGACAGTCCCACCCTAAGCGACGCGTGACGTGGTGACCAGTCATGGTCTGGTACGAGTGACGATGTCCTTGATGGTGCCGGCGAGGATGTGGCCGTAGTGAGGAAGAACCGGTTGCGAAAGGAGGCCCGTCGTAGAAAATTTATTCGGGAGATGCTCTGTTCGTTTGAGCTGCGTCTTGAAAGGCATCGATTTGATTCCAGAATGAGAGGACTTTCTCTTCTCCCGAGGAAAATAGAACTCCTTCCTTCTCCCACTACTTCCATGGCGGCCGGCAGAGAAAACTCAGGAATCTGGACACCAAGCTTCTTCCACTTCTAGAGACCAAAGAGAACCAAATCTGAGCAGTAACAAAAGGGTGAGGAAAGATAAACAATTTGGTTACTTCCTCCACTTTATGGAGCAAACAAGTTAGTAATCAAAACTCGAACTGGAGAACAAAATTTATACAATGTGCTAATACCATCCAACCGTAATGGCATCAGAGAATGATTACCGAGCTGAACTATTTCTAAAATATGACAATCCTAGCAAGTCACAGAAACAGCTAGATAAACTATATAATATACAAGTCGTAATTCAAAATAATTTTATCTTGCAATGACAGAGATAAACCTAAGCATAATGATCATAACCAAACTCAAGAATGAGTATAAAGCTTAAAGCTTAAAGCAACGAGATTGTAGAAACAGACCCCTAGCTAGATGGTTATTAAAGCTTAAAGAAACGAGATTGAAAAACCAATTTTGATCCTTTAGATTCTAGACCCGATCTTAAGCAAACCCATAAACCAACTTCCCTCCTGATTTAAAATTAACAAAATTCATAAACTCAACTCTAATCAGACACCTGCATTACGAATCCCAGAGAATCAAGGAGCTTTCTCCATGAGTGTCCCAAAATCAAAGCTAAGCTAACCCCTTTGGATGATTTTAAGATAGGGTAAGATATATTCATATCGAAAATCAAAGCTAATCCATCTGCTCAAAATCAAATCGAGAGAAATACAGGATTTGAAGGGTTTCAGCAACTAACATCAGAACATAAGCAGAAGTCTGAACATAAGCAGAAGAAGAAGAAGAAGAAACTTACCGGAGAAAGAAGAAGAAGACAACTACAAGCGATGGGAACTAGCGATGGTGAAGAACGATGGTTTCCTGACCCAGCTTTACAAGAACGATGTGCTCTGTTTGATGATTTACGGTTCGGTGAAGAAGGTGAAGGTGAATTTAGGGTTTGGAGACATGAGTGCGCAAGAGAGTCGAAGAGATGAGAGAGCTCGAGAAAGGGCAAAATTTTTTGTAATTAGGTCCTGTTCGTTTGCTTATTTGGGATATGCATCCAAATGGTTCATCCAAATGGTCTATTTGACTAATCCATCTGAATGATGTTCGTTTCCATTTTTTGTGGTTCAGCTGGATGATCCATCTAACTACTTTTCTTTAAAATTTTGTTTGTTTGTTCAGCTGAATGATCCATCTAAATGTTTTTGATATGAAAATGACTAAAATGCCCATGTTTTCATCTAACTATATTTAAATTTTAATCTAACCATATTAATTACTGATCAAATATATATTTACAATCAAATAAATTTCAAATTATTATATTTGACATTTAAATTTCTATTTTCATGATTTTTTTTTTTTTATATAAGAACCAAAGCATATGCTATGAAATTAAACAACAACCAACATATACCAAACAAACTCCAAATTATCTAAGTTTTCTTTCTCACCACGAAAACCTCACTTACAAGCTGCTTAAGATTCTCTAACTACACTAAAATATTACAAATCCGATTCTAAGTTAAGAAACAATAAAATCATGAACACAAACACAAGTTCGAGAATAATTAAAGCTGGAAATATTTACTCATCCTAATATCTACACAGAGCATAAAAACTACAAGGATCTACCACCAAATAACACTACATATAAAGGAAATTAGAAAATCCAAATAACAAATAGCTAATCAATCTCAGTTGTTCAACCCATTGCAGATAATGCATCCAAAAATTTCTCTGATCACTCATACAAACACCAAGACCAAGCAACTTTTAGCTATAGCCTACCAGCAAGATAAGATCTTTGCAATGAGAATGATACTACAAAACGTATCTGAATCAATCAATTCCAAATGATTAGAAGATTTCAGCTTTAAGATAATGCATCGTTTCAGCTTTCAAACATATAAAATAGAACCATATAAGGTAGAAGCTTTCAGCTTTCAACAACAATCAACAATAGATGACAATAAATCCAAGCCAAAAGTAAAGTGCAATAGAAAGCAGAAACGATCAGATTCATCATATCTTCTAAAATTATGACATGATAAACTTCTAAAAGGAGACGATAATTGAATAATATGTCTAGTAGATTCATCATATCTTCCGCTGACATATGAGTTTGATACTAAGCAACAACTAAAATTCTTTAATCAGCTGCATCAAGGAACACAAAAGCTAAGCACCATTTTATAGCTTTGACACTTTGAAATGACAAAAAGCAACTAAAGGTACAACAAACACAAACCCTAGCTGAGGTAAAAGTAAGCTCTATATTCAGTATCTTGCAACCTGAATACAATCAACAAACCATAGAAAAATAAGCAAACAGAGTTCAAGCTCCTTAATAAGCAACCACGCCCAAGAGAAGTGCCAAAACAAAAGCCAATAATCAAACCCATGAACTATAAGAATCAAATACACGACTAAGAATCCAATAATCAAACCCATGAACTATAAGAATCCAATAATCAAACCCATGAAAAATTATAGCCGCTCAAATACACACAAATTATTCTATGAAAAACCCATGAAAGATTATAGCCTATAAGCATCATAAACTCAATACAAAACCTATGAATCTTACCTTAAACTAACGGCGAAAGATTCGGCGGAGAGAACGGCGAGAGATCCGGCGGAGAGAAACGGCGAGAGATCCGGCGGAGAGAAACGGTCGGCGAAGTGGACGGCCGGCGAGAGATCCGGCGGAGAGAGAGAGCTGATTTTGTTTGTAAAGAGAACAAAAACAGAGAATCGTCGACGAATGAAAGAGAAGAGGATTAGGTTTTAGGAGTGTAATTTTCTAAATTAAGTAGGGGTATTTAGGTCATTTTCTATTTTAGACTGAATCAGCTCTAGTTAACTGCTCCGATCAAACTCAGTCGGATTCCAATCATTTTTTTGGATGAGTTTATTAAAAATCATCCAACTGATTCATCTCACTGCTCTGTTAAATTGCTCTAAACGAACATCAATATTCATCTCCATTCAGCTGGATCATCTGAATGGAGAAACGAACAGCACCTTATTCAAATAAGAGAGGGGTATTTTCGACTTTTATGACTATTGGATGAGTTTACTGTAGCTAAACGCACCAAATAGACTTATCCAGATATCCTATTTTTTCTGAATGAGTTTTGTATTTGTATCCAGACGCAGTAGCTGGTTCATGTGCTAAATAAGCACTAAACGAACAACAATGCTCATCTGCATCCAGATACTGCGTCTGGATAAGGAAACGAACAGGGCCTTAGTTTTATTTGAAGCTAAATATAAATTTGGACAAGTTAGTTTTTCACCTTTAGATATCATTATATTAAAGAAAATTTTCATGTTTAGACCAAAAGAAAATTTGAATTTGAGTTTTATGGTTTTTATGGTTTTTGATGTTTATTTTTGTTTATGTTTTTTTATTTGAAGCTAAATATAATTTTTGACAAATTCATTTCACTTTTAGATATTATTACATTCATGTTTAGACCAAAAAGAAAAACAAGGACTTTTTGGTCATTTGACACAAAGTGCGTTTAGATACAACAACCGAAATAACAAACGAACATAACTGCGTTCAGATACAATTTCCGGACGCATGTATCAAAATTGCAAACGAACATCATCTGGTTACTGCGTCCAATAACTGCGTCTAGATATTGCGTCTAGAAATCATCCGGTTAAGGAAACGAACAGGGCCTAAGACTTGGGTTCTCAGTCATCGTTTAGATAACAAAGAACAACATAACCGGTTACAAACAATAAAACCAATGAACCAAAACAACCCCATGAAATGTACAATATTCAAAACGTTTTTTTAACATATTTTATAGCTTTACACAGGTTTGTGCTGAGAAGGTAACAATCTGGCTTTCAATTTCGATCAGTGGTATGACTACTTGGAGATTTCATTGATGAAGGTACAAGAACCTGCATTGGTATCATCATCTTCTTCTTCTGCCTATTCTCAAACTGTATTCGATCAAACATAATCAGTACAATCAGAGACAGTGCTAACTCCAGAGTGGGGGAATGATCAGAAGTATAGCCAACAACAAGGCCACTGAAAATTCCCGGTCCAATCAAACCGCTCTTGCTTCCATCTCCTTTCTCCCGAGACATAATAGTGTTATGCGCAGCGCATAAACCACGCTTTCCTCTAGCGAATTTCTCGTATTTCCCATAAAAACTAGGCTTTATTGCTGAACAACCTATCCAAATCATTGAACTACAAATCTTAAAGCTTAAAGCAACAAGATTAAAGATTAAAAGATATGAAACTTGAAAAGATATGAGATAGATAAAAGCTTGTAGGTCACTAGCTAGATGGTTATTAAAGCTTAAAGCAACGAGATTAAAACACCAATTTTGATTCTAGACCCGACTTCAATCAACTTCAATGAAACTCATAAACCAACTTCAATCAACTTTAAGATCTCGTTAGTGAGAGATCTTAAGCAAACCCACAAGCAATACAGAACCAATACATAGAAACCAAAACAGATCCAATACATAGAAACCACAAAGGTGTTTGAGAGGCTGTCTGTCATATTCAGTGTTCTTTTTAATAAGTAATAACCCCTCCAAAAAATCGGGTGGGAGCAAAATCCACAACAAGTTTGAATCGCAACTTGCAGAATGATTCATGAGGCAAAAGACTTAGTGAATATATATATGCGATTTGTTGTTGTGCTGGAACATGCTTGACCTCAAAGAGATCACATATCAACATTGTAATACACTGAGTTTGTGATAGTAGTACAAATGGAAATGGTTTTATAAAAATTGAATTGGCTATCTATAATATAAAGAATACTTACCTTTTCGATTAAAGAGTTAATTAGTGTGTTTGATTTAAAGCAATCAAGGGAAACTGATGCAATTTCGTTTACCTTGTGAATGAGAAAAAAGTATGGGGAACAATGACAACTTGTTCAGAATATCAAATCTTTTGAACAAAGTGATGAAATTAGAAATTTAGTGATCATACACACAAAATAGGTTTGCAAAATAGCAACTAGATAAAGTAATAGAAGCATTAAATGAATTCTAGCCAAGCTTATATACTTTCAAGTGTCAAGACCAGACTTCTTCTACAGCTCTCAAAGACTCAAACCATGATGTTCCTTGGAGAATCTTGGGTCTTAATTGTAGCTTTAAGACTCGTGCCGGAAAACGATACGTCCCCGTTTCGACAAGTGTAATATAAGTAAATAACCGAGGGCATATCGGTCATATCCGCTAATAAGCAATTTATGGTTCTTCGCTTCTCCTCCTCCTTCGCTCTCTCAAGCCCCCACTCTCCGTTGACTACTGACACTCGCCGTCTTCATCTTCCCTGTACGTATCTACTCCCGATCTGTAAAATGCTTCTTTCTCTTTTAATTGTCGTTTCTTCGATCTGTTCCATCGTGATTATTTGGGATTCTGGTTTGTTGAAATGCAGCAATGATGGTCGGTGGTCTACTACGCTTCCTAGTTTCTCTACTCGCCGTAGCAATTTGCAATGCGGCTTCGATTTCTCAGCCGATTTCAGAATCTCACAGATCCGCGGCTCTCGACTTTGCGTTGTGTAGTAATATGATTTTTTTTTGAACTCACTCGTTTAAATTTGCGCTTCTGTTATAATCAGCTTGGAGGACTTTGGAGATTCTTGGAATTGATAAGAAGTCTGATTTAAGCTCAGCCACGTGTGAGAATGTGGTTAAAGTTCTAGCGTCGCCTTCTTCTGCTTTGAGAGTTAATGGGATTCTTAAATGCAAATCTGGAGAAGATGTTCCTAAGGTAAACAGTTGGTCTCCTCCCTATTACCTTTTAAAGTGGGTGGCTAGAGTAACTTCATCTCTTCTTTGTTTTCCTTTTTTTGAAGGACATTGTCTGTCTCTAAACTTCAAGCTCGCGCTAAGGATGCCAAGTTATTGCTTGACTTCTACTATTCTGTCAGAGGCTTAGTGCTTGTCAAGGTAATACTGTAACAGAGTTCTCGCTCATTACTTGGAAGTATGAAAATATATTCTTGGCAGAATACACATGTGATCTTGATAATTTCTTTTTTTTTTCAACTCTATAGCTTTGTCTTCTTGCTTTTCCATTTGTTTGGCTTCAGGTTTGAGTCGTTTGACCTCGCCTTTTACATAATTGCAGGAGCAATTTTCTGGAACTGATCTAAGTCTTGCTGATGCCGAAGCCATTTTCCCTTCAATAAAGGTTTGAACTTGTTTAGCTCAGCCTCTATTTGTTTTTGTTGAGTAATCAGATGTTACATTGTACACTGTTTTCGGAATTATCAACTATAGACTCTGGTAGTAGTGCATATAGTGTTGACATGTGACCAGTATTCAGCTACTATATTAGGCACTACTTTGGTTGTTTTTCAAGTATTATCAGGCTCATTTAGTAAATTGTGTATCAGGCTCTCAGCCAGAGTGATGGAAGATGGCGCTACAGCTCCAACAATCCGGAATCAAGCACCTTTGGTGCTGGTAAGTATTTCTTATTGGATTAACCCGTCATACTTCAGGATGAACATTAAAGTTTTACCTTTTAAATTATTTTCCCATTTTCTTCTAAACATAAGATTTTTTTTTCCTGTAGGCTTAGCATTCGAAACTCTTGCTGGAGTGATTTCATTAGCACCTTCAGGGATTGATCAGTCAATGGTAAGAGAGATCTTTGGTGCACTAAATTACTGATTTTCTGAGAATATATATTGATGAGACATCCCGTCGACGTCTTGGTTTAGTGTTGATTTACTTTTGGTTCTGGAATAACTTGGTAGCTAGAATAAACAACTGTTTTGGTAATTTTAATTTCCAAGTCGTAGCTACAGGGGAAAATAATGTATGTCTACCTGGCATTTGTAGCTGGTTATGCCTTTTTGCCATTTATGTGGTAGTTTGGTTGATATTACTTGGTCATGTGATGATATGATCATTCTTGTTTTTTATCTTGTAGATCCAGACACTGAAGACGGGTATCTTGAAGCTTTTTGACAGAATCCAAAAATATGGTATGAAGTAAACTACTTGCTATATTACGTATATGCATTAGGAGATTTCTTCAGTCACTTCATAGTTCTTTTTCCAGTATAGATTAGCATTTCTCAGCTTGATTGTTTTTTCGGCCTTTCAGACGATGGGACATTTTACTTCGATGATAGTGAAGGCCCGATCTCAACAACTGCATCAGTAATTAGAGGGCTCACGTCATTTTCAGCTTCAGAATCCACAGGATTGAACGTATGTAGTAACCATATTTCTCTGTATCCTGCATTCTTCCAGATGTGTTGATAACTCACTTTGCTTTCCCATTCTCTCATGCAGCTTCCAGGTGATAAGATAGTTGGTTTGGCCAAGTTCTTTCTTGGTGTCGGAATTCCTGGAGATGCCAAGGATTTCTTCAACCAAATAGATGCACTAGCTTGTTTGGAAGATAACAGGCAATGCTACTTTCTTGCTCTCTTTATGCAATTTCTCTTTGTTTTATTTCAGTACACATCTTAGACGAGATTTCAGTAACTTAGAATTGAGTTGAGTGATACTAGGAGTTACAGTTACTTCCGTTCTTCTGTGTTAAGAGTTGCTTTTGATAGATGCTAACTATTTCTAGTACATGTAAAATTGTGTTGAAGGGCTTGTGGTCCTCCATCCTAGAACTTTAACAAATGAGTACGGCAGAATGATATCTGTAGACAAAACACTTATGAAATTTCAAGCAGATGCTCATTTATCATGCTCTCGCTGTAACTTTGTTATTTTATGGGAGCAATAATATGTGTTTCGGTTGTTGTCTATGATTTCAGGTTCTCTGTTCCACTCATCTTGTCTCTTCCATCTACTGTCATTTCATTGACAAAGAAAGAGCTTCTGAAGGTATCTCATCAAAACTTTCATCAAGATGGGACTGGCATAGTTTGAGATGTTTTTTCTTTTATCATCTATTTTTCCCCTTATGTTTTTATACAATCCCCTTCAGAGTTCTCGCCTCTCGGTGTGGTACTTTTAGTAAGGAAAATCTTCTTATCTTTAGATTTTCTAGCTTCGATTACGTGTCCCTGTTGAATAGTGGTACTTTAAGTTAAGTTCTTCTGGCTATACCGGTTGTATATTGGATATTCAGTTGGTAGAAATTTGCTCATTATCATAAGATTGCATTTTATTTGTAGACTTCTCTCATGTTGGATAATAACTCAGTCTAGTTGACCCTTGGTCCATTACGAGTTTTGGGTATTATATTAATATTTTATTTATTCTCTATATGGAACTAGGTTAAAGTTAGCACTGTACTCGGTTCTAAGGCACCAGCTCTTAGTGTGAAGGTCGCAGAAGCGCTAAATTCAAAGGGTTCTTCTGTAATTAACAACCAGGTATAATGTAGCTTCTCTGACTATTTGAGTTCGCATTCGTGATTGTTCCCTTTTCTCTGCATCAAGTCTGTTTACATGTTTCCATTACCTTTTTGGGGCACAGGCTCTAAGTTTGACGCTGACAGTGCAACGTACTTCTTGGACTCCTTTCCCAAGAACCTTGATGTTGGGAAGTATACATTTGTATTTGAGGTATTCCTCTTGTTAATATATATTACACGCAGACTTCGCATACAATGTATGTTAAGAACATGATAAGATTCATTTTCTGCAGATTTTGCTTGATGAGTCGGCAAATGAAAAAGCTTACGTAACTGAAGCTCAAACAAAAGTGCCTATAGCCGCCACAGGAGCTATTAGCATTGAGAACGCAGAAACTGCTGTACTTGACAGTGATGTTGGGAGCGTTGAATCTCAGAAAAAGTAGGCATCTTTGTACCATTTGTTACTTACAAAATATATTTTTTACAACTTTCTTCTTGTGCTTATCATAGTTTTGTTTCTTGGTTCCTTTTGCAACTTTTGTAGGCTAGATTTAACTAAAGATGAGGCAGTATCATTATCAGCAAACCATCTCCAAAAGCTACGTCTGTCATTCCAGTTAACTACTCCACTTGGCCTTGTTTTTAAGCCACACCAGGTTTGTTCATTCCCGATTCTCCTTTATTAATTGTTTCGCTCTTGTTCACTTTCTTGATTTGCTTACTTCCATGCAGGCATTTCTCAAACTGAAACATGAGTCACAGGTGAGCATATCTTTCTCGTGAAAACTTCTGGAAAGAAGGCTGAATTAGTTCTAGTAAGTTCCTTAAACTACACCTTGAATGGCTTTTGTTAACAATATTCTTTGACTATATTTCATCTTGCTATGGTCAAGTTTGGTGAACGCAATATTAACCAGTAATGTTATTTCCCCCCTTCAGGATTTTCTTGGATTGGTTGAGAAGCTCTACTACCTTTCTGGTAAATATGAGATCCAGCTAACTATTGGAGATGGTAAGTACTCTTCTGTCAGATCCATTGCAATTGATTTATGTTTTTCGGAAAATTTGAAAGATGTTATATTTCCTTTCATTTCATTTCTCCAGGAGAAGTCTTTATTGACTAATATTGGCTACATCGAACTAGACCTACCAGAACGTCCAGAGAAGGCGCCTCTTCCTCCTCTACAGCCTACTGACCCTTACTCGAGATATGGGCCAAAGGCTGAGATATCACACATCTTCTGTGTTCCTGAAAAGCTTCCTGCGAAGAAAGTTTCACTAGTCTTCTTAGGTCTTATAGTTCTCCCATTCATCGGTTTCCTGATTGGGGTCAGTATTCTTTCGCTTGTAAATAGATTCAGAAAAACACAAATCCGAAAAACATGAGTACGTTTGTTTCACAAGTCTCATGCAAACTTTTTATTTCTGTTTCAGCTGACACGGTTGGGAGCGAACATAAAGAGCTTCCCATCATCGATTGGAGCTGCAACATCCGCTCTACTATTCCACGGCGGCATCGGAGCTGTTCTGCTTCTCTACGTGCTATTCTGGTTGAAGGCAAGTTCTCAAAACCGGTTCTTGTATTAAGATTAAAAAAGACCATTGCATAAAAAATCTAATGCTCATCTACTTGTGTATCCTGCAGTTGGATCTGTTCACGACACTAAAGGCACTTTCTTTGTTGGGAGTGTTTCTGTTGTTCGTTGGACACAGCACACTCTCTCACCTCGCAGCAGCATCGAACAAGTTGAAATCTGCTTGAAGAATGTATTCAACTATGGTGGATTCTGTGTTCCATGGAGCAGTTTTTTTCTTTCCAGTTTTGTAGCATTACTTTAATATAGATAATGGTGATAGACAATTCCAAAGGATTTCAGAGTTTACTTGCTCTCTCAGTTTAGTCTTTAAAGTTATGATAGAACCTTACTATGATAATATAGCTGAAAAGATACAAAGAACAATCACAAGTCGGGAGATCCTGAGCATGTGCCCAATCAAGAGAAATCAATCTATGATCCTAATTCCTAACAAACCAATCCCAAGCCAAGAAGACGACTCTCGTTTTATATGAATCTTGTTGTTGACTCTTAGCAGCCAATAACACAATGCCATGTCAGCTTCCGTTGAACCATGTTTTTTTTTTATAAACAAACTGTTGAACCATATTTGCAAATCAAATGAAGTATTTAACTCATTATTAGATCAAATGACTTTGTAATTGTAACACTTTGTGATAGTCTTATTTATTAGGCTACTGACTTTCGTATATTGTAACACTTTCGTAACTTGATAATCATTAGATTAAAGTCTCTCCTCGTCCGTTCTTTCATACTAATACTTTTACATGCAAATCTGTTCTTCTAACATGCTATTTTAGTGAAATTCAGTAATTCATTGTATTTAAAAACGTGTCGTTTTAAAATATGTTAGTTGCCATGCAACTACTCAGTCTTGATGAGATATTTTCATGGGACTTCAAAAAAAAAAAAAGAATCATATTGCATGTGTTTCTCTCAGTTAGGCCATATCTATATGTCCATCGTTGATTAATTTATCTAGTCTGAAATATTGAAACAAATTAAAAGAGAAGAAAGAAATGATTCCCCCATATTGGTGAAAACTTGAAAAGTGTGAATAACTCATTGGTCCCTCCATCTCACGTGAATTATTGCGAATGGGACAGTACTAGTGTTTGGGTGTGGTTTCAAAATTACCGTACCAATTAAAAACAAAAACATAATTAAAAAGAAAGTGTTTTGTGTGTGCGTCGTCCGTGTCAGATGATGTTTGTGGGTGGTTAGTTCCAAAGATTTCCAAAAATAGAAAGTCTTGACGTATGGACATCTTAGCTAAGCTCCTCACTCCTTACTATATTTGTACATTAACGCGTTTCCCTCTGTATTTTTTTTTTTTTTTTTGTCGTCTCCTTTAGATTGTTTATGTTTTCCTCTCAATAATTTAACCCTAACTATTAGTTTCTCCCCAACCTATTTTGCAATGAACCGTTCATTTATTATCACTCATCAATTTTGCATTAGAAAGTTGGTTAATCTAACATTTTCTTTTATAGATATATTGATTACGTAGAAAATCAGTTAGCTATCACGAGTCGAATCCAATTGTATTAAAAAGGATAAAAAACAAATTACAACATATATAAGAATTACCTATCGTGAAGACATGGAGGAGTATCCACTATCAGCTCGTTCACATGGCCCCACACTGAACAACGATAACAAAATATCACAATGAACGAATCCTACTTGAGGTTATTTGGAAAGTAGCTTATGACAAGATTTGGACAACTCACAAATCAAGATTCTATCGATACCATCCGATGTTTAATTTCCACGTTCGTTAATCTCGGACTTGATTGTGATTCCATGATTTGCAAAATTTAAAATTAGACATATCTAAAACCTTCTTCTTTTTTTTTTGAACACAATGACATATCTAAAACCTTTGGATCTGAACTTAGTTGTAAATCCTTATCTCCTAAATATATAATAACGTTTTGTATATATATATCTTTAATTAAGAAAAAAATTAACGTAGTATATGATATTATCATATTATGCCAGTGACGGATGAGTATATTTACCCATTACCCAACAAGATCCACAGTTTTGGTTTGCATTCAAATCAATCAATACTATTAAATCCAAACTACTAGTTGGGTATATTAATTTATACATGCATGGTTCTACGTAGAAATATATATTATATATATATTGGTAAACTGGTTCTACGTAGAAATATTAGTGAGTAGCTGATTCAATCAAAGGGATTTCATAGACCCGAACCCTCTGATTGTCTTGGAGTCTTCTAAACCAACTCTCAACACTAGGCCTCTATATATAGCAGCTGGCTCTCTCTCTCTCTCGCTCTCACAAACAAGCAAACAACATTAGAAAAGAAAGAAAAAAAATTGACATTATGGATACGTCAAAAAAAGCTGCGTGCGACAACTGTGGTTCAACAGAAACAAATCTAGGGCAAACCCGCTGCCTGCACAAGACGTTCTGCAAGAGCTGCTTCGAATCCCAAGGATTCGACAAAGTGTCATGCGATGTATGCAAAAAGAATCACAAGGAGAGCGCAAAGGCCAGGAAGAAGGCAGAGAAAGGCTCGGGGAGTGGCGGAAGTAATTGGGTTTTAAATTTTGTATTTATTACTTTGTATGAATCTTAACTGATATCATGGTCTTATTTTGTATTATTATATTAGGCCGTGGATTTTAAAGCATGCATGCAAGGAAGAAGAAGGAAAAGAAGGAAGGAATCTTATGGAGTGGAAATGAAATAATCATCTTTGTAGTATTTTAATTTTAAGTCTCTGCTTTGTAAACCCTAATTAAATAATCATCTTTGTAGTTGGGATTATTATGAAATAAAGTGTTCAGCTTGTTTGATTGCGGTTTATCTATCCGAAATTATTTAGGAAACAAAGGAAATTGAGAGCAAACTGATGTAAACACATTCATGCACAAATGATTTATGCCTAGTTACGGATCTACTTCCGTCCTCTATAACCGATTCATCTTCTTCTCCAAATTATCTCCTCCATCTCTGTAATGTTGCTCCATCTCTTAAACTCTCCCTCTCTTCTCGAATTCGGTGTGTATCAGAATTTCTGATTTGATTTTGATTTTGTTTCGATTAGAGAATTTCTCGATGAGATATTTTCATGGGACTTCAAAAAAAAAAAAGAATCATATTGCATGTGTTTCTCTCAGTTAGGCCATATCTATATGTCCATCGTTGATTAATTTATCTAGTCTGAAACATTGAAACAAATTAAAAGAGAAGAAAGAAATGATTCCCCCATATTGGTGAAAACTTGAAAAGTGTGAATAACTCATTGGTCCCTCCATCTCACGTGAATTATTGCGAATGGGACAGTACTAGTGTTTGGGTGTGGTTTCAAAATTACCGTACCAATTAAAAACAAAAACATAATTAAAAAGAAAGTGTTTTGTGTGTGCGTCGTCCGTGTCAGATGATGTTTGTGGGTGGTTAGTTCCAAAGATTTCCAAAAATAGAAAGTCTTGACGTATGGACATCTTAGCTAAGCTCCTCACTCCTTACTATATTTGTACATTACGTGATGACCCGCGCAGGGCGCGGGGTAATGATTTTGTTTTATACTTTTTGGACGAAATTATAACTAATAATGTGTTACCTACCTAAATACTTTGGTAAATATAACTAATCTTTGTTATAAATTAGTATAAATAAACTAATGCAATGTGAAATTATGATAAAATTCATATATTTGAAGAGAAAAATATAATACAAGTTTACTCCATCAGAATATTAAATAAATAAAATTTATTGTTATATCATGTCTTTTAAAAATTATGACGATCGTATATTTATTTTAATACCAAAATCGAATGACAAAAATATATGTAAAAAATGAAAAAGTAACGAAACCATATCTTGATAGCTGAAATAACTATATTTTTCCTAACGATCAGTAAGAAAAACTCTGCATTATCCAAACTTCTTTACAAATATATATATATTTTTTTTTTTTTTGCTAAGAATGTAAATATTTCATTAAAATGAAAACAGTTTAGGTTTACAATCTAAGATTTTAAACCTATACAAATGGTCCCATGGCATAAAAGATAAAAACATGGAAGCATAAATTGTAGTTTGACAATTTTCGGTCCATCCACTCGACCAAAGCGTTGAAGCCGAAGGAGTTAGACGAAGCGATGACGATTTTGAAAGTTCTTTCCAAATAAGATGCCGAAAGAAGGGTGACTGCAACATGAAAACGCAGAAATGTGCAAGACTCTTAGCACTAGAAGCCTTTCACTGGAGGTCCGAAGATGGACCGTCAACGGCAGAACTCAAAGTCCTCGATCACATACTCCCTCCGCGTCATGTGAGAGCGACTCGTCGATCAAATCCATGAGCTATCCCAAAATGAAACCTCACAAACCAAATTATGCGAACGATGTGAGCTCCCTCTACCAAGTTCATTCCCCGAAGTCGGCTAGCGCAGAGCAAGATTTATGCTAATCAATACCACATCGGACACCATCGGTCTTACTAGCTCCTCTAGAGTACAAATCAAAAGCAACAAGAGGCGAGAACACATTGCAGAACTAACTTCAACTCAAAGCAACTGCAGAAGCTAGACACATTCAAAACCAGGCCTTGAAGCACAATCAACAAGTCAATAAATACTAGTGATGTCAATTAAAGAGACAGCAAATTAGCCACCACCGGGAGCTATACTATCATCAAAAATCAAACAGCACCGCAGCTACCAAAGACACAAACTGAGAAACCGAGACGATGCGATAAACTTGACGCTTCAAACATGGTAACTCTCTAACAAAACCTAAAAGCTGTCCTCTAGCAGAAGTTGCGAACAGAAAGTTCTCATCCCAAAGGCAAGCCAAATCGTCAAGGTGAACAAACAGAATTGAAGCCGTGAGGAAGCGATGCCCTGAAACCTATCTGAAAGAGGGAAGCAAGAGCAATCGATGAAGACCACTCGAAGCCATCAACTCTATCAGACGAGACGGCCCACACGGAGGGGACAGGGGCAACAAACACAAGGAACTATGCCGTCAACCAGCAAGAAATCCCATCGGAGAGAAGCCCAACCACCGGAAATTGCAGGTCGACGCGGCTGATTCCCAAGCAAAGGCTTGAAAATTGCAAAACCCATGAAGACGGAGAAGCAAAGCTTGAACCCGTTGCAGGATTTGCGAAGGAGGAGGAGTAGATCTGAAGCAGATCCTTGCCGATCGAAGCCGTGAGACGCAAAAGAAGACGCAAGAAACTCCGCCAAAACTCAAGCCGTCGATTAGCGAAGAGAAAAGAACGGAGGAGCGCCGTCAACACCACGAAGTGGCCGTCGCACGCGGCGGAACTACTCCCTTTCACCGCGAGTTTCAAGGCACTTCAGACTCGTCGATTCACACAAGTGCCAGAACGTGAGCTGAAAAGAAAAACAATGAGGCCCTCTCACGGCGCCGGTCAAAGCCGGACACCGGAGAGGCGAGCAAGGCGACGGCGAAAAGAGAACTTTTGGCTTTAGGTTTAGAGAGAAAAGACGTGGTTAATTTGTGTCGTGATCAAATTTTTTTGCCATGTGATAATTTGTGGACGAACTTGCCTTCAAAAAGAAATGATAGATTGAATATCTGTTCATATTCATCCACGAAGTGAACATTAAATCGTTTTTCACATTTTCATGCAAGTTCATCAAGTGTCTCAGATTTGCTTTCAAAAATAATTATGTCTCGATATGACATCGTTTTGCAGCTATAGTCTTTTAAAACTAAAGGAGAGAGGGAGCAAGTTATTGTGTATAAAATAAACTTAATAGAAAATTGGTAACTCGAAAGGTAAGACAGAGAAATTGTACTTTGTGTTACTTATATTCTGCCAATGGAAGATTTCTATATGTTAGAATGACTTCTTCCATTATTGCAATATCCTTCTTTACGGACTTGTTTATGGCAAGTAATAGCAACAAAATGATCTTTGTGCACTCTTTGTTTGGACCTCCTTTTAGTGTGGCTTTTAAATGAAATTTATTTGTAATTTGAAAAAAACAACATGTTTACCTTGATCATTATTTCTAGCCACTATGTTAGCAATCTATGCTTTCTTATATCACATCATCAAGCGAGGAAAGTTTGTTTAAAGAAATGTGCTTTTGTTATCGTCATTTGATTTTAATCGCTTCTTTATCACATTCCAAATACTTGATTCGTTCTTCTGTTGGAAGATGTAAGATAACGATATATAAACAACTTAAAAGTATAGTTTCATTAAAACTTTCACCATGCTTTGATACAGACAAAGTCAAGTTCTAAAGAAGTTTAGATGATCTTAAGCGTAGAATGAGTGTGTTGTAATCTTGGTAGGTGGCTGCTCCGATACCACTGGAAATTGTTGTTTTGATCTGAGTCCACTCTGCAGGTATAGTCTTTTCTTTAACGTGAGAAAGAGAGATAGCGATCTATTGTGTAAAAAATGAACTTAAATTGATAAATCAAAAGCTAAAATAGAGAAATTGTAGTTTGCATGTGTTACTTATGCTGCCAATGAAAAGAGTTATACCTATTTGAGCGACTTCTCCGATCATTGTTTATATTTTTTTCATGCCAAATGATAGCAACAAAATGATCATGATGCATCCATATTTTGGTGTGGATTCAAAATATAAACATGTAAATAAAGCTTGTAATTTGCAAAAACCATGTTGTGCAACTCTATCTCGTACATTATTTTGTAGTGACTATGTGAGCATTGTGTGTTTTTTTCATCACACTCTACCTCTCCCAAGTGATAGTCTAGAGAACCAAATTTTCTTATACAAATTGGTTAACTCTCTATAATTCCAATTACTTTGAAACTAGCAGCTGCAGATAATTGACATAGGATCAAAAATATCACCAAGTGAAAAAAAATCGGTAACAGAAGACTAAACTGGTTTACCGAAATCAAATCACTAACCAAACACCACCGTGAAAGGGGAATTCAAAAGGAATCATAAGGGAGAGAGAGGACTTACTTAGAGGATTCTTCTTCGAGCCAGTGGCGGATGTGCTTGACGTACGCCTTAAGACGGTGACAGATTGCTTCACGTCGCTTCTCAATAGCATCACCACGGCGCCTACTCCGGCCACCGTCAATATGAAATTCGTTAAACCCATTGCTCCGATAAACGATCCGCAAACTCTTCTCTAGGGCTTTAAGAGTTTAAGACCATACACACATGGGTTATTTATTTTGGGTATCAGTAGCCCAAAACCATTTTAATAATGGATCAAACACAAAATTCCGTATCAGTCCACTGATACCTTTCATACTCATTTTAGTGTGACGTGTCAGTTTGCCATTGGTCGTTTTTTTTTTTTTTGTAACAATTTTTCTGGTGAAAACAGAGAAAAAAGAAAAATTCATTTGCTCTCAAAATCTCTCATCGAACAAGGTTTAATATTACAGGTCTGTTCAATTTCGATCTCTTGGATTCTCTTGCATTCTATTAATCAATTTCAGAACTCTTATTTTAGATTGATCTTATGTGTTCTTGATCGTTTTTGGATTTGTTTTTATTTGGAGCTTGAATCGCTAAAAATGGAAGGGATTGAATCTGGTTCTAGAACAAGGAAGAGAGTGGTGGTGATCGGCGGTGGACTCGCCGCGAAATTGCTTCAGTTCCATGCTGATGTCACACTCATCGATCCGTAAGTTCTTTCACCAAATTCTTAAATCCTCATTTTTAATTTTTTTTCAAAACTTGTGTGAGATCAGGAAGGAGTACTTTGAGATTACATGGGCAAGTTTGAGATCCATGGTGGAGGAGCCTAAGTTTGCTGAAAGAACAGTGATTAACCACAAGAGTTACTTGAAACAAGGTCGTGTTGTAACTTCTCCGGCGATCAATATCACAGAGAGTGATGTTATGACTGAAGATGGATCTAAAACTAGACAAGAGAAGTTGTCACATTACCAAGCTGGTATGAATCTAAATCCTGACATCTTTTTCATGTGATTTCTGTTTGTTTAGTTGGTAATGAGATTGTGAGTGGAGATATTTTGTTTGTCTTTAGTATGATTTATACAACATTTGATCTTTATTGTGTAGAATATGACAAGATCAAATATTCTGGATCAGTTTTGATAGTTGGTGGAGAAGAAGAGATGAGTTTTATTTATCATTTATGTTAGATACAAGTGTAATAGTTTTATAAAACTGTTTACTTGGCTAGGACCGGTTGATAATGTTGAGAAGTAACAGGTGGACTAAAGCACTTGTCTTTAGATGGACAAAAGCGTATCGGAGCGACGTATTACATTGAATGTAGCTCAAAAAACTCAACAGGTACACTTGTACGTGTGTGTTGGAAACATAGGAGTTCATTAGTGTTAGTCTACTCTTTACTCGCAAACTATATATTATCTATATATATGCTTTTCTTTGGTTTATGGTTTTTGCAGAATGTGAAAGCCGTATTTGATGCTGCTATCAAAGTAGTAATTAAACCAGCGATGAAACAAAAGGAGAAGAAGAAGAGCAGAAGCCGCGCAATGGATGTCTCTCGTAAGTTGAAATAATCTTCCCTTTAGAGTCTCTTTATATATGACTAAGATATATGTAAAATTACAATCACTGGAATTTGGTTATGCAACCTATAGCTTCATACAGTTTTTTATGTTTATGTGAAGTCTCAAAGCCATTAACGATTGTAGATGGGCTTCTCTATTTTGGCAGAAACATTCTGTGTGGGAAGCATTGATGATGACTCAACTCCATCTGATGATTGTTCACTTCCTTTCTTTTTTTCTATTTGCCTAGTTTTGTGGTTGTGATAAGTCGGAATATACATAGATTTGGCAGAGATGAAGCCTCAATTAGTAGCTTCTTCGATTTTGTATGTACATGTAAACCTGATGTTTGTTTCGATTTGGTTTGACCCTTATAGAATTGTTTTAGCCAAAGACTCGTTGAGACTATAGAGAAGAAGAGCTTGGTGGTAAACCAAATCCTTGTAGCTCACGTGGCTAACACTTATTTCTTTCGAAATATGTTGGACCCTCCTTATTCCCAAATTTGAATTTATTTGGCCCTATCATGAATCCGAGACCAAAAGACAAAAGCGTGCAAGGAAAAAACATGTAAATTTCAACGTATCGACAATTGAAAGAAGATTTGATTGAGCATTTTTGGCAAAAATAAGGCCAAAGTAATTGACTCGTGGTGACT